AAGGAATAGAAAAAAGAAGGAATCTGAATAGCTTGCTAGTTGCCAAATTTGGGTAAAGAACTGAGAACAGATGAATATCAATAAAGTTGAACCTAAGCGTAACTGGTAAAGTTATTGTCACGTGACCAAGAGGTCATGAGTTTGAGTTGTGGAAACAATTTCCTGTAGATTCCTGCCTACAATAGACCCTTTTGATTCAAGTCCTTTCCCTTTTGGTTGCTACTTGTCAAATATGGTTAAAGAAAACAACATTAGCCAGGTGGAGGTCACTGGGTTCACGTGAATCTATGCCCCCTCCTAAAATCATATATAGTAGTATTATATATATTTTAAAAATATTTAAATATAGATATGTAAATCTATAACTGAAGTATCATACCGTGCGATTATATGGTTGGGTGCACCTTTCTAAAATTGGGCGACGCCTCTCGAAGTGGTTTGCATAGGTAAAAATAATTTTGGACCTATAATTGTAAAATATTAATAACTTATAGTGATAAAAACGTAAATGTTAAACTGATCAAATTTATATCTTAGATCCACCTTTTCGTAATAGTGCCCCCCATCATCTCAAATCCTGGAGACCGAGTCATGTCGAGGGAGCAAGTACCTTGTAACAACACATCATGTATGACATGAAATCCACTGAAGGATTTTGACCTTACAATGTTTGCTACTACTCTATTATTCTTGAACCTTGACAAGTTCATTTCACAATATTCTGCTTTGGATAGAAATCACCCCACTTGAACACTAAAAATTTGTAACTGGTTGTCTCGTTCACTTGGATTTGACCTCTTGATACATGAACTTAGTGCTAATTGCCTCAACTTCAAGACAATATTTTCGTTGGGGGAATTCAAAATATAAAGAAACGAATAACTTAAAAGATCAACGAGATTCAATATATATATGTAAAATAATAATGAGAAACAATTTGAAAGAATCGAGTTGACTGATAGAATTACTGGGTTTAAAGCTTTTTTTATTGGATTGAACGTGTTCATTCATTTTGACTGTTTAAGCGAATTTTCGCATACTTATTTCTACTCTACCTTCTCAAAGTTCATTCTTCGGAGAACTCCATTTAAATAATTTTGGTGGATGCTTTACAATCTATTTCCTTTATGATTTCATTCTGAATCATATAAAGACAATTTCTATTTGTGCAAGTATATTACGATTAAGAAGCATTTATCTCTCGTATATATTTACTATATATACAGTATAATTTTTCGTTGAAGGAACTAAGTGGCCTTTAATATTCATGTTAGGTTTCTAATGAGCCTAAACTTTTGCTCCGTAAAGCCCATGCAAGGCTGGAAACACCTCCAAAGAGTTTTTTTTTTTCATACTCATAATTTGAAATTTTTAATTAATGATGAAATGACGTTATCCATCTTATTGCAATCTTTGTTGATTCTATTTAAGAATGTAATGGGATCGTGATGATCAATCATTTTTTTTAATTATTAAAGACCTTAAATTTGAATCCGAAAAATCAATTTCACAATTAATAGTTATTGGGGTTGAGATCACTTCTTTCTCTCTAGAGTGAATTGTTTTCAAAACAAAATATGAAAAAGTAAATAATAATGTGATATGCTATCATTTATTGAGTTCGTTGAAATTCTAACCGTTCAATTGTCAGTATTGAAAATATTTGTTGGGAATGATATTTCTTCTTCTCTACTGAGTACATCATTTTAACAAAAAAAAAGAAAAGTAAATGATAGTGTGGTCTGCAATTATTTATTAAATTCGTTTAAATTTTGTTGTTTTTCTAATATTATGAAAAAAAATATCCAAATCTAAATAATTACAAGAAATTTAAATTGTTTAAAAAATCATAATTTTTTATTAGACTCAAAACTTATTTATCCTACATTTTCTTTTAAAATTTTGTTTCTTGTTTCAGGTATATTCCTCGAATGTGAGGGCCTAAACATGTCCAGGGTTGGAAATATTTGTATATTCTACATAATTATACCATAAAGGTTGCTTACATAAAAAAATGTGGGAAAAAACTCAAATATGTTTTAACATTTATGTCATTTATTAATAGTTAGAGTTTATTCGTGCATTTATGGTGACACAATGTGAAAATTCATGTTATTTTTTAATGACAATTTAAATAATAATGATAAAAATATACGTATTATTAATCTCTTCACTAATAAAAAAAAAAATATATGCATTATCAAATTCTTTAGTAATACCTCAAATAATAAAAAGATGCACATGTTTTTGATCTCTTCACTAACAACTCAAATAATTAGAAATTGCAGATGGTATCAATTTCTTCACTAACTCAAATAATCAAAAAATACAGGTATCATCAATCTCTTTGGTCTTTACTAACAACTCAAATAATTAAAATATACGCGCGTTATTGATCTCTTCACCAACAATTCAAATAATTAGAAAATACACGTGTTATCAATCTCTTCACTAACAACTCAAATAATCAGAATATACATGTGTTATAATCTTTTCACTAATAACTCAAATAATTATAAAAATACACCTTGTTATCACTCTTTTCCCTAACAACTCTAATCAATAAAAATACTCATGCTATCAATCTTTTCATTAGCAACTCAAATAATATACCAATTTCTTCACTTACAACTCAACTAATCAGAAAATACATGTTTATTAATTTCTTCACTAACAACTTATTAATCTCTTCACTAACAAGTCAAATATAATAAAATACACGTGTTATCAATCTCTTCACTAACAACTCAAATAATCAAAAAACACATGTGCTCTTCAATAATAATTCAAATAGTAAGAAGATATACACATTATCAGTCTCTTCACTAACAACTCAAATACACATATTATTAATCTCTTCACTAACAATTCAAATACATGTTGTTATCAATCTCTTTCCTAACAAGCTAAACAAATTAAAGAAAAATACACGTGCTATAGATCTCTTTGCTAACAACTCAAATAAATAGATTATGCATATATAATTTGACCTGACCCACCTACTTCCCTATAAGATCCAATTAAGTTCATTTCTCTCGATTTATCATGATCCCAAACCCCTAACCCTCAAATTAGTTCATCATTTCTTCACTGGCAAACAAAATCATGGCGATTGGAGGTCGACTCAGTAATTTGCCTAAGTCAATTTTAGTTCATATTCTTTCTATGTTGTTGGACGGTAAAGATGTTATGAGAAATAGTGCATTATCAAAGCGATGTCGATTTCTTTGGAGGCTTTTTCCAATATGAGTGAATCTCAGCTTCCTTAAAGATACTTATTTCAGTCTCTCTGAGAGTGGGGAATTGAAGATTCTTGATTTCGTGAATTCCACTCATAAAGAGCTTTTATATTGGAGGTCTGGCCAGAAAATCATAAAATTCAACGTGGTTGCTGATTTTTCTATTCCGCAGAGGTTCGATAAAGATGTTGATTTTGTTTAGATTAGTAGTCTCACATAGGCAAAAATATAGGAGAGATGTTGGGTATTTAAGTAAGTAAATATTACCAACTAGTGACACGTTTTAAATTCGTGTGGACCTAGGCCAGAGCAGACAATATTACTAGCGGATTGTGTTGTTACATGTACAATTTGAGTATAGTCGAATTCTTGTCACGACAATGTTTATGTCATTCGTAGAGGTTATTGTGAATACAATATTCTAAATTTCTTGTAGGTTTCAGCCTTCAACCCTTAGACTTGGCATGCATGCAATTGAATGACTTGATTCCCAAAGGATGAAGGAAAACTTCTAGTGTACCCAGTTGCAGGTCATACACTATATCTTGCACCTGAACTACCCATAGTCGTCTATTTACGGGCTTGCACTCAATAGTCAATCAATTCGTTTTTCCGCTTTCTATCGCACGCTTCAACTATTTGTTTATATAGTGTGTGAAGTCTAACTAATGGAAAGTGCCTATGAATGAGTTCCAAGAAAGCGGCCGTTCACGTCAGGAATAGAGGCCGTTAAGGATGTACTTGCTTTTCCTTTTTTTCGTCGAGATTGGGTTGGTGTGAAGTGTACCGCTTGTCTAGCCTATGCTTTGCAAGCCTACATAGGGTACAAGATCGAAAAGAATGCATTGGATGGATGCCCGGGCATTGAAGAAGCAAGCTCACTCTCATTCCAGGAATCAGAGGAAGGCATTCTGTCCGGTAATGAAGTTCGAAGTTTCCGGCTTGCTTTCTCTCTTCTCTTGCAGTTGGCAGTCTCAGTGTCTTTGTTGTGTTTGCATGTATCACTAGTAGTCTTCAATGCTTCCGTTGTTCACTTTGTAATGTTGTGTTTAGTTGTGTGGCTGGTCTATGTGTGTGTAAGCTTCCTATATATATATATATATATATATATATATATATATATATATATATATATATATTCCTTACTTGAATGTTAATTAACTCCTAACTTGAACATTAAATTACTATAATATTTCTAACTTAGGTTGTGATTTTTTTGATAAGTAATAACTTTTTTCAAAGGGTTGTAATTTTTTGATGAGTTGTGAATTTTCTAAAGAGTTGTTATTTTTTTTTTAATAAATTGTGATTTTTCTAAAGATTTGTGACTTCTCGAAAAGGTCATGACTTTTCACATAAGACACTAGAAACATTTGCATTTGTATAACAAGCAAAAGAGACGAGCGAGACTGTCACCAAACGAGAGTAGCGAGCGAGATTCCACCAAGGAGAATGGCGAAAATAGCTATAGAGTACAATTAAATCAAAGTATATTTATAACATTTAATTTGAATTAATAGTTTGCTATTATATATAATTTTTCCTACTTCGAATGTTGTGTTGCCTGATCTGTTGGGCCCACAAGTATGTTTTAGCGGTTAACTCGATCGAATATGACATCGGATGTCGGTTGCACCTCTCTATTTTGGGACACGACAATACCAATATGATTTCAAGAGTCAATTAAATATATGTGCGTACTTAAATATATTATTTTTATGATTTATATTATTTCAATATAGGTTTCAAATGGAGTATAAATCCATTTAAATTTGAACCCGCCCTACACCTACAGTGTTCATTCCTTTCAATCCGCCATAAATCCAAAACCCTAACCTTCAAATTAGTTCTTCATTTCTCCAATGGCGAAAGAAGACCGACTCAGTGATTTGCCAGACTCAATTCTAGTTCACATTCTCTCTATGATATGTGAAAACACTAAAGATAGTAAAAAATTAGTGAGAAGCAGTGTATTATCTAAGCGATGGCAGTTTCTTTGGATGTCTGTTCCAGTACAGTATCACTTCATGTCAGATTCCCTAATCGGGAAAAGCATGTTGTTGATTACTTAAATTCCATCCGTAGGGATCTTCATTATTGGAGGTGTTGTCACAAAATCAGAAAATTTAGTGTATTTTACGATACTTGCGACCCACAGAGAGTTGCTAAAGATGTCGATTTGTGTTTTTATTTTGCAAGTAAACTAGCAAATGTCGAACATTTTCAGTTTATATCTGATGGTGGATATGTGTTTCCTCAGTTTGCATATAAGAATACGTCCTGGAGAAAGTTGGATATTGAGTCATGTATGGAATTGAAACCCTTAGCTGATGTGAAATGGAGTGGTATAGTTTCTCTTTCAATTGGATGCACATATTTGACAGATGGGTCCATGGAAAAGATATTATCTGGTTGCCCTAACTTGGAGTGCTTGCAATTGGATCATTTTTGGGGATTTCATCGTCTGGAAATCAGCAACGTGAAGTCGAGAGAATTGATCATAGACAACTTAGAAACTGATGAATGTGATGTATGGCTTGATATAATAGCCCCATATATCCAAAATTTGAAAATTTTGGAATCTTGCCGTGGGATATACTTGAGAAATGTGGCTTCGCTTGTTACTGTGGTCTTTAATTTTGAATTTGAAGAGGAAGAACCATTGCAGAGAAAGGAGTCTACCTGTTTGAAGGAACTTTTTCAAAGCGTTGCCCATGTCGAGAAGCTTGAATTAGGTCCCTGGTGCATCCAGGTTTATTCCTATGTATTAGTTTATTAACATTAATTGTGTTAAAAGTTCCACATCAGTCCTAACTTAGACAAACCTCCCGCTTTTGGGGTGTGACTTGTGAGTGAGGCCTAAGACCTAATTTAATATGGTATCAGTACCAGACCCATCCCGTTTTGTTGTTCACCGATGTTGGGCCCCCATTTAGAAGTGTTCATGCTCTATTGAGGTCTGGGTATTGGGGAATGTTAAGAAGTGTCACATCGGTAAAGGGATGAGAATTCAGTCACTTGGACAAACCTCACCTCATGAGCTAACTTTTAGGTGTGAGTTGGGCCTAAGAACTAATTTAACGAATTGTGACATTATTTAGGATAATCTAATGAATAATTTGGTGAGTACTCAATAATTACATTCTTGTTGCAAAGTTGCAATTTGGTGTTCAACAATTTGAATGTCATTACTAAGTATGCAGCATTTCCTTGTTTTGATATATTCTCATTAATTTCTGTCTATGGTTTATAAGTACTTGTCCATAATGGAATTGGAAGGGTGGCAGCCTCCACCATCAAGCTGGAAATTCTTGCAGCTTCACGTGCATTTGAAACAATTAGATTTCCCCGGAATTTGCTGTTTTCTACAGAGTTCATCAGATCTTGAGACTTTAGTCATTGATGGGTACGAAAAATCAAGAGTAAGATCCCTTTGGACTTTATTTTTGTTACTTGATGTTATCAATATCAAATAACTATTAGTGAAAGAAGACGACGATATATATCTACATATTTCTGATATCCAGTACACTAGGAAAGGAATCATAAAACTTAATGAAAAGACACCTTCGTGAATCGTGATATACTTCATAGATAATGTTAAAAGGTTACAAGAAGGGGGGATTTGACTGATGAGAAGATTTGTAAGTACTTGTGAACTATACAAAGCTTCTAAATTTGTGGAGACTTATTTGCTCCCTTGGGCGTTGTTTCCGTAAGAACTTGAAAAAGCGAGGAGTTTTCTCAACTAACATGTGTGCTCACAAAAAGATCCAATTGGGAAGGGAGCTGCCATTTATCAACTCTTCTTTGCGTCCAATAGGTGCCTGTATCCACCAACTAAAGAATCAGCCACACTGTTGGCTTCTCTATAATAGTGTGTCTCCTCGATTATGAGTCAACTCTTTATGCTTTTCAATAATAGGTTCGTATTGGCAAGAAGGTTTTGCAACTTGCTTGACAACATTCACACTAAGTTAAGAGTTGGCTTTTCTATAATAGTGTCACCTCGACTTATGAGTCAACTCATTATGGTTTTCAATAATATGTTCATATTGGCAAGAAAGTTTTGCAACTTGCTTGACAACATTCACAATAAGTTAAGAGTTGGCTTCCACCCAAATTTTTCTAATACGATGTTCAAGACACCATTTTAGCCCATAGGAAAGTGCAAATGCTTCAGTCATATCTTTTGATCAAATTTTGCTTTTCTGTTCTCAAAAGTGTGTGGATTTCTCTTTGTTAAATCTGCGTGCTTATTATTCCTTTTTCTTGTAAGATGTTCAGAAGAACTTTCTTGTTCTCTCAGTTTATTTTCTTTCATAAAACAGTTCCGCTTGTGTTGCTTTGATTCATGTTGTCACTATCAAAATAGACTCTATGAGTAAACTTCTTGCAGTTGTTGGCAAATGACGTTTAACAAGTGATCAGATGTTTTGAACATATTTTTATGTTTGCATGTACCACATTGTAACATTTGCAAAGTACTGAGTTCCTTTAATTTAAAAATTATCACCTTTTTACTTTATCCAGAATCAACTCCTTGGCTTCCTCCGGCTTCTATCTAAGGATAATAAAATTGGTTAATATAGCGGATTCTTTCCTACAGGACCTGCTGTTAAAGTACACAAATAAGGATGAACAGACAAGGAGGTTTGAGACACATGATTTTAACTGCTCATTTCCACATTTGAAGACCATCAAGATCCTCAACTTTTCTGGATCTGCGATGCCATTGGTGAAATATTTGCTCAAGCATGCAACAGTGCTAGAGAAGTTCATCATTGCTGCCAAACGCAAATGGGGTGGTGTGTCCTCGGATTATGTCAAAATGGAACAGGAGCTCATGAGCTTTCCAAGATCCTCTCCGCAAGTATCAGTTATCTTTTCTTATTGATAACCTTGGACCCTTATCGTTTGTTTTAATCTCAGCATACTTAACATCTGTTAGTTTATGTTTGAAACTGGCTTGAGTTGATAGACAAGGCTTGGATTGCACTTGTCAGTGTGTTCATTCTAAATGTTTTGTGATTTCAGTTCATACTGCTGAATCCTGATCATGCCTTTATACTGAAAATTTAAGTTTTGAGAATCATTTGCATTGTTCCTGCCCAACTCCTGGCCCTGTTTTCACCTCTGTTTTGAATCGAATGGCTGCCCAAGAAGATGTTTCTTCCAGGCATAAAGAGTGTGTCGAAGGTGTACACAATAGCTCTGAGATTGTAATGTCAAACTAGGGTATATTATAAGCTCTAAGTTGATATTACTAGGTTTTATTATTTTTGCAAGCTCGTATGTTTTGCATATTGTACAGACTAGGTTGTTTTTTATTACTAACTGCTTTAACAGACTCGTTGAACTTAGTGGCCTCGTCGTTGTAGAGAGAGATCTCGTTCTTCTGTAACTCTTTTTTCGTTGTAGAGAGAGATCTCGTTCTTCTTTAACTCTTTTTTTAAAGAACATTTCTTTTCCATTCCAAGCCAAAAGGACTCATTTGTCTCTAATTTCAATATGTTTATTGTATTCCTATATATCACATTTCATCTCTTTATTACAACATGATTTTATTATAACGATCAAGTTTTTTAAATTAATTTTCATGTTTTGTTATTGTAATTTTCATAATTTTTTATTATTAGAGACTTCATATTAAAATGATTTTTCACTAGGTAAACTAGTATTTAAGCAGAATCGAGTATGATAACAAAATAACTTTTAGTAGAACATTCATGTAGTGTGACAGTGATAGAATTGTAAATGAAAGAGTGTTGTTTTAAGTATTTATAAAATTATTTTTTACATGGATATTTTAGAATATGTTTAATCATATATTTGCCTTTTTTATTTTTCCTTTTATTATTCTTATCTTAAAGTCTTTCGAACAATCAAACTTTCTACGTTTTGCTGAACTTATTAGGATCCAACTTATTATTATTTATTTATAAAAAAAAATCATAATTTATTGCAGGAAAATATTTTATCTATAAGCTCAAATTCTTGAATCATACTTCAAGTTTTATCTATTTTATTGTTCTAATTTTATTTATTTTCTTGTTTATTTGTAAGGTATAATTCAAATTAAACTACACCGAAAACCATTATAACAAACAAATCCTAATTAAGAAAATAATTACTAATTAAATATAAATAATCGAGCAAAGGACATAAATCACATACTTTTTAAGGCAAAATGACCATTTGTCCCTTATAAGTTTATAATTACAGAAATTCTTCAAACTGATACAGTAATATAAGCGCTGATACATTTATTTGATGCGCAAGATATATTAATTGTTAAATAAGATACATTATATTTTATATACGATACACTAATCCCATGTACATTTTATACATGATATACTAATCTAATGCGCGAGATACATTAATTTAATGTGCTGATATATTAATCTGAGGCGTGAAAAATAAAGAAATTTAAAAGTTTATAAAATTAATAAGAAATAATACACTAATTTAATGCGCGAAATACATTAATTTGATATATTAATATGTTAATTTGATGCGTAAAAAATAAAAAAATTAAAAATTTATAAAACTATAAGAGATAATGGTAATAACGTACGCTATTACCTTTATTGGAACGCTACACTATTCTGATTCTTTAGTAGATTCTCTTTTTTTCTTAAATTACCTCAATTATTTATACCACATTTTCCCTTATTTGATTAGCATTGCAAGATGACGGCTGCTAATGGGGAAAATCCGACAGAAAGGTGAATTCTAATCTATTTTTAGCTTTTACTTGTCAAGATTTGATCTGGGGTCTGATCTGTATTTGTTGATTGGTATAAGAAAAGAGAGTTTTCTTTTTGTTGCATTTTCCCCTTTCAGTTATGTAGAAAGGTGAAATTTTTTAATCCATTTTTAGCTTATATTTGGTGGATGAATTTGAGTATTTGGCTAGATTTGATCTGGGGTCTGATTTGTTGATGCGTTTCTACTGATTGGATTAGAATGAGAGCTTCTTGTTGCATTTTCTCCTTTCTGCAGGGGAAGTTCTAGTAGAAAGGTGAAATTTTTAATTCCAGTTTTAGCTTGTATTTGGTAGATAAATTCGAAAATTTGATCAAGATTTGATCTGGGGTCTGATCTGTTGATGCGTTTTTACTGATTGGAATAAGAATGAGAGTTTCTTGTTGCATTTTCTCCTCTCTGCATAGGAAAGTTTATGTAGAAAGGTGCAATTTTTAATCCATTTTTAGCTTATATTTTTTGGTGAATAAATTTGAATATTTGGCTAGATTTGATATGGGGTTTGATTTTATTGATTCATTCTTACTGATTGGTAAAGTAAAAAGTGTCTTGTTGTGTTTTCCTCTTTCTGCAGGGTACTCTTTTGTAAAAAAGTTGAATTTTTAGTTCCATTTTTAGCTTCTATTTGGTGAATAAATTTGAATGTTTTGGCAAGGTTTGATCTGGGGTCTGATTTCTTGATGCATTTTGTTGATTGAACAAGAATCCGGGGTTCTGCAGTTCCGCTTTGTATCTTTTGATTTTTCATGAATATGCTTAAGCTCCCACATGTTTGGAGTCTTTATGACGTGAGCTAAGTTGTTTTGATGACTTCCTTGCAAATTATTGATACAGTACATATATATTTCCATATTTAGAAAATTTTCATCTGTTACTTCAAACTTGTGAGATTCTTTAATCTGATTTGTGATCCAAACAATTGATCTCAATCTCTTTGTTTTGATATCTTGATGTGTGTATCTGATAGTTGTAAATGAAAAATGTAAAAATGTGTTCCTTTGGCTAAGCAGATCTGTATCTTCCTTTTGCCACTGGTGTTCTTGTTTTGTTTTCTCTCATTCAAAACTCAATCTTCTCACTTAGTTTTCTATTGATCAATTTGGATCTGTTAGCAAATAAATATGAAGGGGAATGGGTTCTGTTATAACTTCGGTTCTGTTATAACTTCATTTAGTTTGAAATTTCTTTCGTTCATATGATGTGCTTTCTGTTTTTTCCGGACTGGTATACGATGAGCTTCGTCGTGACTATTGGACCTGGGGTTATAACACAATTTGAGCTTTTTACAGTCTATTCTCACTTTGTATTCTCTGACTGAATGTTTCTAAAATCTATAGTCCTTTTGCAATGCCTAAAAACTGTACTTCACATCAATGGCAATTTAAGTTTGTATGGTGTATGAGAAAATGTCTGGTCCAGACTCATACGTAAAAGAAAAATGATCACTGGATAATTCCTAATTGAACTTGAGATGGATTTTGTGCTAAAACAGTTCCTGGTATAGCCCCTATTGAATAGAAATCACAATCCTTCCTAGAAAGCGCAGCGACTTAGTGCACATTTAACTTGCTTTTTCTCAAAATATGATTTTCATTATACCTTTGAGATACGGTTATCATCAATGCTTCATGCTTATCATTATGTCATGGTCCTCGTAAAATGTTCAGGAAAGACACGTACTAGTGTTTAATATATTATTCTTTGAGAATGTATCAGAGACGGTTCGAAATTTAGAACCAATGTTCTGAAAGGGTATGGATGTTTTTCAAATTGTTTTTTGAAGTACACGTATGGTTCTAACTCAAGAAAGTTGGTGTCATTTCACCAAATGTGTTACATGTAGATTTGTCCATGGAATGTATAGCGCTACGTTGCGTTCTGTTTAATATATACACCAAATTGTGTTTTGAGATTGTTGTGTTTTGAAGACGGAAAGCAAAGCTAAACTACTATATTTTCTCTTAGCAGTTCATCTCTAGCGACACTTGCTCCCCTTCAAGCAGTTCTATTTGATGTAGACGGAACTTTATGTGATTCAGATCCTCTTCACTACTATGCCTTCCGTGAAATGCTTCTAGAGGTACCAACAATCAATTACTTTTCCTTTAGAGGAAAGTCATTCTTATATGTTTTGACTTGTGAAATGCTCCCCCTGTGGATTCTGGAATATGTCAAAATCATTTCTCATAAGTCATAACTGCTGGCGATTTGTGTTCTGCAGATAGGCTACAATCAGGGTGTGCCAGTTGATGAGGAGTGGTTTATCAAGACTATTGCTGGGAAACACAACGATGATATTGCTTCTGCCCTTTTTCCTGATGATCAGGAACGGGGTCTTAAATTTTGTGATGAAAAGGAAGCTATGTTTAGAAGGTTTGAAACAACTCCCTGCATATGAAGCTTGTGTATTTCAATTGACCTTGTGTTACTAAAACCATATGTTCATTTTCAATCCTCCAGTCTCATAGCTGTTTTCTGTGCAATATAGGTTGGTGAAAGAACAGTTGAAACCTATAGATGGTTTGTACAAGGTGAAGAAATGGATTGAAGATCGTGGACTGAAACGGGCTGCAGTTACCAATGCACCTAGACTAAACGCTGAACTGATAATAGAAATACTTGGCCTAAAGGATTTCTTTGATGTAGTTATTATCGGAAGTGAGTGTGAGCGTGCAAAACCATCTCCTGACCCTTACTTGAAGGCCCTTGAACTGCTTAAGGTGTCTAAGGAGCACACGTTCATATTTGAGGTCTGATTTCTTTATTGACCGCGTTTTTCATGTACTTCTCTTCACAACCAATAGAACTCATAATCTGTCATCTATCGTTAGGATTCTGCTTCCGGAATAAAAGCTGGGGTTGCAGCTGGGATGCCTGTTGTTGGGTTGGCAACTCGAAATCCACCTCACATACTAATGGAAGCAAAACCTGCTTTTCTTATTAAAGATTATGAAGATTCGAAGCTATGGGCAGCTCTAGAGGAAATAGACAAAAAGTCAGGTGCCACAACAACTACTGTCTGAGACGTTCACATACTAGGTGAAAGATCTGTTATTGTTGTTGAGTTAATTGAACTTTTGCTTCATTGAAACCTTGTATTTTTTTTCATAAAAGAGGGAAATGGTACTATCATTATTTTTCTTCCGTATAATCGGATGTACTAGTTTCCAACAGTTGATATTGATCTAAAGAATATATAAAAGCATGGTGATTTTTCATTTCTTCATACCTGTTGATGCTTCTGGTCTTTGGTTCTTATTCTTTTCCATTGCAAATCTAGGGCATAAGATGCATAAGCAAGTGTTAATCTCAGGCTGTACAAGTATCTTTTGTTGCCTTGGTGT